GATAAGGAAGAAGCAAGTTAAAGCACTTATTGTCTTTAGAGTATCTACTGCCCCAGGGATTTGACTGGTTTACTTTGAATCTCAGACAGCCTTTGAAAGGGTAAGGCAAGGGAACCTCTGTAGAACTTACCCCTGTCCCTAAGTCACCAGACTTTGATTCAACATAATCCAGGAAGCATTGTGATAGATCCGGGACCTGCCGAGTCCTGGAGGCTTGGCCTCTTTAAGTCTAAATCTAGAGAGAAGAAACGGGAGCCGAATAAAGAAAGAACATTGAAGGTATATTCTTTGGGTAGTCTGGAGAGCCAGTGATTATCCATGTCCCTGTTGAATGCCGGTGAGTTTTCTTTAGGATCAAGTGGGAAGCAGTCAGCTTTAATGTCCATTATCTTTCTAGACTCACTAGAGAAACTGTATTGATACTCTGTGCTATGGGTGTCATGCTTAGAACAGGAAATGTGTAAGGTGTAGTTTTTAATACCTGATTTAAACTAGGTCTACAGTCTTTAATGGGTATGGTAGAGGACATTCCTAGTCATCTCAAATCCCCGTGGAATTCTGCTGACTACGTCAACAACTACCAGAAAAGCTGAACTATGTTAAGCACTAAACAGACGAACAGAAGCACAACACTTGAACCTATTATTTCTTCTAGTTAAGGCCTTATCTGTTATTTGTTCTCAGGTTGGGGCAGAGAATCCTGGGAATGCTGACATAATAATTTTAACAAATCCTGACTTTTTCATTTAGATTGCCATCTTAAAGCCTAAATTTAATTTGAAAGCCTTCTGGTAAACTCAGATATGACAGTCCATTGTAAAGTAATTGAAATGTTTGTACTTCCCTTTCATGGTAATAATCTTCTACTTCATTTGGAGGTTAACTCTTAGATGCAGCCGATGTTAGCTAGTGTTCATGATTATAATGAGTATCTGGCATAAGCCAATGTAAAGGAGAATAGGTTTCTATTGGTGTGGGAGCCCACAGAGGTTTCCTAGTGAGGTCTGAGCTTGCTTTACCAGCAGGGCTGCATAAGAGGATGATTGGACCACAGGCCTGGGTACCAGGTGTTTGGAAGGGTCTACACTTGGTTGTATCTAGCAAGGGGGAGGTCTTTTGCTTCGCCCCTTGGCATTGTTATAAAAAGCCCTTTTGAATGTAGTTCTGGGCCAATGGATAAGGATCCAGGCCCTCCCAAGGCTATCCTGTGTATCTGTTTCTCTCACCTCTATCCTTCTATCTAAATCTCTTATCCCTCACTCCTCAAGAGTACCCAGGTAAAGGTGGGAGCTGGTCCCCCACATATTGGCTAGCAGTTTCAGAGGTTTCCATCCATAGTCACTGGGCCCTGTTGTACTGGCCTATGCCAGCACAGTATGTTACAACACACTATATCAGGAACATGAGTCCGAGAAGGCCTTTTCACCCAGCAGCCAGAAAGCAAAGACAGAAGGTTAGAATCCCAGTATCTCCTGTAACGGCATGCCCACAGCAACCTAACTCCCTTTAACTATATCCTATCTCCTAAAGGTTCTACCATTTCCCAAATGAACCAGGACATAGCAACCAAGCTTTTAACACATGTGCCTTTGGGGAACATTCAGAATCCAAACTATAGCAAACATTCCTAATAAGAAATGTTTGACTACGTGGTGGTAGAGTGGTTTCTCCAACAAACTGGTCTAATCACACCACAGGCAAATCTTATTTTCCTTTTACGTTTCCTTTGTGTTCCTTTCGACTGTCACCAAGGGTGTTTGTTGTACTGGGCCTCTCACCAACACCCACATGTCTGTGTCCTCCTTCCATCCCGCTGGATGAGTAGGCAGATCTGAACTTGCCTCCTTTCCTGGGACCTCCATCCTGAGCAGCTGAGTCATCCCTTTCACAAGACTCCACTTTACTATCCTCCCCACTCAGATGCTTCTCTCACACCCTCTCTAGGTTCTTCATCTGAGAGCTGCCCTGCTCCTGCCTCCCTGAGCGCTCTTCACCCATTTTCACCCTCTGGGAGCCTAACAGTAGCTTTAGAAATAAATGTCTGTGCGTGCTGTCTAATGCCACAGGTTAAAGGCCCGCAGTAAAACGCACACAGGCTTTTCTCTTCACTTCTTTTTAACCCCTACAGGCTGAGACCTGTGCATCACATGGGAACAAGAGGCTGTGTGGAGGGGTGAATTCGACTGAAGCTCTTCCGCTGTCTAAAGTCCTAGAGCTGAAGCGAAGAGTTTGCACACTGCAGAAGGAAAACTTGCGTTCCCCTTTTGTACAAACTCTAGGGCAGTTCTCCACAATGGTATTCAGCAGCAGCTCTCTCTCACACACGGGATGGATTGTCAAGAAGTTGCACCAGGAGCAAACCTTCTAACACTGTCCGTCCTTTCCTTCCCAGGTGCTTGGGAGTTCTGGCAAAACATACACATGCCTGGCTTCCTGTCACTACTGCTCATGCCCAGCGTTTGCCTTCTCAGTGTTACGGAAGGGTGACAGTCTGCTGGTAAGAATGGGCTCCTGCACACAAGTTGGGAGAGAAAAGGCTAGCCTCATTTCATGCCTTAAGTGCCACATACATTTTTTTTGGGGGGGGGGGAGGTTTACACAGAATGGGTATTTCCCTCAGTGTTGGAGAAATTGTGGTTTGCTGTCCTTGTCTTAGTCACCTCTTGGATTTAGCCTCCTGAAATGCAATGTCATTTTTGGTACTTCGTCAGTTTCCTGGTTTTTTATTTAAAAGGTTGTAGAGGAGGTTGTGGGGACAGTAAGGCAATCTTGGAAATGAGCACTAGGGAAGAGGATGGTTCAGGAGAGAGAAGTAAACAAAAGATGCTCACACACCATCTCCCTGGTTGTAAAGATGGCCTCACATTCATCCTCAAATGGGGCAGGAACACCTCCATCTACACCTCTACGTCTTTGTGAGTCCATCAAAGTTCAGAGCATTAAGGACAGCACATGTCTACACATTGTTTATTCCAAAGGGAAAGAAATGCACTACCCTCCTCTAAGAGAAGGTGGTTAGTCCTTAGTCTTGCCAAAGTGGAGAACAATAGAGTCTACCTCATTCCTTCCTTTTTACTTTTTCAAGATTTTTTGTAATGATTAATTTATTTTTTTGTGTGCATTGGTGTTTTGCCTGCATGTGTGTCTGTGTCAGGGTGTCAGATATTGGAGTTACAGACAGTTGTGAGCTGCCATGTGGGTGCTGGAAATTGAACCCTAGTCCTCTGGAAGAGCAGTCAGTACTCTTAGCCACTGAGACATCTCTCAAGCCCCCCTTCTCCCCCGCTTTTTTTTATGCTAGTAGCAGTTTAAACATCTTGAGAGTTTGGTGCCAAATTGAGCATCTATTCATACATCCCACTAGCCACTAGTGTGGTTTATTTCACCTGTAAAATGACATGCTTGAACCAGGATCCAATGCTGTGTTCTGTGTCATAGGTGTAACGGGGTTATCTCCGCACATTTGTGTACATGTGAGAACTCCCTATGCTCTTTCCCCGCCCCAGAAGACAGCAGTGGTTAGAGTGGATAGAGGCTCCTCATGCTCATTATAATGAAGTGTGAACCTGCTGGGTAGCTGTTAGATTTGCATGAGCTCACTTGTGAGGAGCACTGCAGTACAGTGCCTTACGGACTGTCAACCATTGCTGTAACCACACTCTGAAGGCGGGGATGAAACCAGCTGAAAGCATGGCAAGGTTTCACTCTCCTCCTTGCATGGGACAGTGAGAGGTCTTGATTAGACTGGCCAAACATGATCCTGCTTGTTCCTAACAGGTCTGTGTTTTGTATTCCAGTGCAAGCATCTCCTGGCAGTTTATCTCAGTCAGGTTATGAGAAACTGCCAGCAGCTCAGTGTGTCAGACAAGCAACTGACAGAGCTGTTATTGATGGAGAAGACACAAGAAGCATGAAAGATGCAGATGGAACATCGTCTTTCAAGACAGAAGCCTATCAGAAAATTCGCTCCATCTCATGGTTCACAAAGCGGAGGAATAAGATACACTTTGGACTTGTTACAGTCACTTCGCCCTCCTAGGCTGCAGGATGAGCTTTGGATTGGCACTGTAGGCTGCAGAGGGCTCATGTGTGGTTAAGAGCCCTTTATGATCTTAACACGAACAGCCTCTGAGCCCCACAGGTAAAAATGTCCCTGGGTACAATTCAATATTGTTGACTCAAATAAAGCCTGATACCATGTGGTGTCTGCATCTAGATCAGGTTACTGAAGTGTTAGTAACTTTGTAAAGATGGGATGGTAGAGTAATAGCCCGCTTAAATGAGAAAATTATTCCTCAGTAAAGAACTAGAGCAGACATGTAGCTAAATAGCAGCAGTTCTGAGAAGATGAGGGGTCTTCTGCCAAGCTCATCAGGGCAGCTTACGGGGCTGGACTGGGAGCAATGGTGTGGAGAACGGGAGCTGGGTTGCTCTGTGAGCATTTCTAGGCTTCTATAGCAGGATAAGGAACATAACTAAAGCCTGGAAGGAAACTAGATCCTACTAGGAATTTCACATGAGAAAGAAAAACAGATTAGCTACCAGGAACGGTGTTGGAGAGAAGAGATGAGAAAGACCCAGAGAGAAGAAAGGACCACTGAGAAAACTCTGAAGAGGAAACAGATCGTAGCCAGGAAAAGGACTTGAGAGGTAAAGCCATGACAGCCCAGATGCCAGAGGGTGGGGAATTCCCTGTCTCTCTAAGTACTCACCCTTTAGGACCTGAAGAAGTACTTCGCAGCCTAGAGACACCACTCCCTCACCCCCATGCACTGTTGTGCCCCAAACACAAAGTGTTAGTGAACAGCTGCTGATAAAAAGCCAAATACACGCTGCAATGCTCTCTGGTTGGCTGAGCGTTAGGTTGAGTTGTAGCAAAGAGAAATCAAGAGTTCTCTGCTACTTGAGAGACGGACTCCATATGAGCCTCTTTCAGCGGCCTTCACGGTACAGTGCAGACAGTATAGTTGGTACAGCAAGCCAGTGCGGCACCGTGACCCTGCTTTTCACAGTTTTATTTCACTGACTATAGTAGACAGATGTTTTTGCTTAGTAAAATTTTCACACTGTGGGCTCCAATAAATTTTAACTTGGGAGAGAAGCAACCCCAGTACCTAGGTCTAGAAGCAGGATTCCAGTCGAGGAGGGACTCCATTTCTCCAGTTTCCACCTCTGGTATTTTGTGTACATGGAAAATACTGAACTTAAATTGTTTTTTTAATTACAATTCTACTCCAAAACTTAGGAGAATATCATTCCCTAAATTAATACAAAAATATCTGAATTATACTTCAGTTTTCTGGGTTGCTGCCCTGGGGACAAGTATACATTAGTATATATACATTAGTACAGCCAACTTTTTTTCCATTGCTGTAAGTGAAAAATACTTTACTATAATAGTTCACAGTGCTTCACAGTAAGGTAAGCTTCAGTCATTTTCTACCATGAATGAGGCAGATTCTTAGAAATAAAAACGTCTTTGGGAATCAATTCAAACCACTGCCATCACCCACACAGTAGAGCAGCTGAGTAGATCCACCCATGTATTTGTTAACCTTGGAGGCTACTGATTGCATGTGCATCTTAGCTAGACTTGGGTAACTCCAGGTAAGTACTCAGAAGAAGCAGCTCATCTGCTTGGGAGGTGTAGCTGTCTTTCACAGTGAGAACCAGCCAGTTGTGTCGAGTCCCATTGTTTATTTTAAGCCTTCTTCTGCAAAAGGCCAGAGCCTAGGTCATAGGCCCAGACTGAGAGCAGACTGTGCCCCGGCCTGCCCACTCCCACCTTTGGTGTCTGTCTGGCAGAGAACGTAACTGGAGATGATTCTGTGGAAAGTGTGGCGGAAGTCTCGGTTCCTGTAGGCATATACAATGGGATTGACAACTGAGTTGGCATGTGACAGGAGGATGGCAACATTCATCATCCACTTGGGCTTAGCGTTGGCAAGAGCTGGATGGAAAAGAGTAACACAGTTGATGGCATGCACTGGCAGCCAGCACAGCGCAAAAATGCCTACAATCATAGCCAGTGACTTGGCGGCGTGGATCTCTCGCTGCAGAGTGGTCCTGGAGTGGTCCATCGGTTCCATGCGCTGAAGCTGCTCACAGGCCACCATGAAGATTTTGATGTAGATCACCAACATTATGAGCAGTGGAGGAAGGACACACCCAAAGAAATTGAAATACACCATGTAGCTCATGGGGACGACATTCTCAAAGAGACACCTCACAGGACAGCAGCTCTTATTCATGATTCCATCCCCAAGTTCTGTGCAGTTGCTGGTGACACTGTCTTTACTATTCCAACCCAGGAACGGAGTCAATCCAATGCCAAAGGCAAGGACCCAGAGGACAGCAATGATCCCTCTTGCTCGGGTTCCAGTGACCAAACTTTTATACCTGTTCAAGAGAATATCATCTGTTATTGGTCATGTTACCGTATTCCTTAACCAGAGCCCAAAGGTCTACCTTGCTGGTGTTCCATGGCCCTTCAGCTCTCCCAGCTTTGAAGGTTCACCCTGGGGGCACCATGACCATCACTTAGCACAGAGTCAGGAGCAGATGTGGGCAGCTTCGCTGCAGCGGCTCAATAAGACTGTCGTTCTTAGCCAGACACAGCAGCACACACCTTTATCCCAGCACTCAGGAGGCAGAGGCACATAGATCTCTGTGAGTTTAAGGCCAGCCTGGTCTACATAGCAAGGACAGCCAGAGCTACAGAGAAACCCGGTCTTGAAAAACAACAGCTGTGCGGTGGCGGTGCAACGCCTTTAATCCCAGCACTCGGGAGGCAGAGGCAAGTGGATCTCTGTGAGTTCGAGGCCAGCCTGGGCTACAGAGTGAGTTCCAGGACACCCTGTCTCGAAAAAACAAAGCAAAAACAAAAAAAAAGAAAAACAACAAAAATACTCATTCTTGACCCAGTACTTGTTTCTGTTTAGTGATGGACAGCCAGTGACAAAGGTCCAGATGTCTTAGAGGCCCTTTTTAATAGGCTCAGTACTGGCTAATTTGGGTTTCTGTAAGGTGCTGTTTGAGTGTTTGAGATACATCAGTGAACAGACATGTACATGTTCTAATGTTAAAGGACCGACATCCTAAGGGGAGATGTAACAAATAGTGAGGACATGTGTATATGAAACCTGACTCACAAGCTGACACTTTAACAAGGGTCCAAGGAGCCCTCTGCACTCAGGTCCTTTGGACTCAGGATCTGTGGCTTTTGACAACAATCACTTCTCTCAACACCAGAAGTTTGCTTTAGAACTGGTTGTGATGGGTGCACACCGGTGGTCCTCCAATGAGGAGGCTGAGACCACAAAGCAAAATCTTATCCCACAGAAGGAAAGTGCCTTCTGCAGACTCTGGGCAGGAGCACTGCTGACTTCTCTGCAGACTGTAGAACCGCAGCTCTGCTAATGCTTCATCTGGAGAGAGCCACCGGCACGAGAGTTACTGAGACTTGGGACATCAACAGTAATGACTGGTCCTTAGTTTGTCACGTATATTTTCCCTCGACTAGAATGACTCCACTAAGGACAGACCATATCTTGCTGAATTGGTATCCCAGGACCTAGCATGGTGCCCAGTATATAGTCAGTCCTTTTTTTGGTTTGTTTTTTGTTTTTGTTTGTTTTAGTTTGGTTTTGGTTTTTCGAGACAGGGTTTCTCTGTGTAGCCCTGGCTGTCCTGGAACTCACTCTGTAGACCATGCTGACCCCAAGTTCAGAAATCCACTTGTCTCTGCCTCCCAAGTTCTGGGATTAAAGGTGTGCACCTCCACAGTCCAGCTATAGTCAGTTCTAAAGCACAGCCATTATGAAAACACCCCCATGCGCTACCTGTTAGCAGTTACTGTGTACTAGGAACACTCGGATGCTGTGGCCCGAGCAGGCAGGACAACAAGTACAGTCTGCAGACGAAGCCAACTGAGACTTGCTTCATGCTTAATGACAGTTCGTCTTTGCAGCTTCCTCTCAGCCGTGAGCAGCTCAGTTGCTGGGCCTTTACTGCAGGATGGCCTGCTGAGCTCAGCCGCTCGCTGCTGCATTTTTCTTGGCCAGTGATGAAACCTTTTTAAAAATGTTTCTCCTTGCCAGCGCCTCACCAGCGATGTCAACAGCACAATTAGCCTCTGCAGGGTAACAGAATGCCTCCACAAAGCTAGGCACTCCGGATCCTGTCCCTGAGGAAGCCTGCACCACAGCTCTGCCCTTGACTCAGCCATATTAATTTAGTTCAGCTGAACACAGGCCAGCCTTGGTGCACTGACTATGTGGGGTGAGCACATCCTAGCACTTCCATTCTCTGGTCAGTGACTGGTAAGGTACAAACGAGGAAAGCTTCGGTATAGGACATCATGGAAGACCTTGCAGTGGAAGCTTATGGATGAGAGGGAGGAGAAACCCGAACAGTGAGAAGATTCCAGGCAAATGGCACTCACGTGGGCTTTCAGACAGTGCCAGCTTCCGGGCTGGGGCCGTGGAAGACTTGCAAGGCAAGTAGTGGTACTGTTCATGTTGCAGAAAGCACCTGGCCACAGCAACTGCGTTTTAGGAGTACAAGAGGAGACAGAGAGAGCAGCTAGAAAACTATTTCAAAATTCAAGAAAATGAGCTCTGGGTCCAGGATTTCAGCCCGGATGATGCAATGGAAAAAGAACCAACAGGCCTTAAAATGGATTAGATGGAGGATGGTGAAGAATCAGGGGTGATGCATGGTTTTCAGGGGTTTTCCCCAGCATCCTAATATCCACTGAAACATGATTAAGGGCTCGAAGTGCAGAGATTAAGGTCATGGGAAGAGGATGTTAGTTCCTGATGACGGTGATCTATAGAGAAGCTGCAGAAGGAAAGGGCAGGCTGTTGGGTGTGGCAGCATGCCTGCCATCCTAGCACTTGGGAGGTGGGGCAGGAAGATCAGGAGTTCGAGGCTAATGTAAGCTATATGAGGCTATCCCCAGCCTTCCCTCCCCCAAAAGAAAGGAGGCTGAGGAAGCAGAAGGATGCAGGGCCTGTGTGAAGGGATGCTGCCTGAGTCGTGGCAGAAGAAAGGGCAAAAAGGCTGGTTCAAGAGCAAAGGCTGGGGTGGTGGTCACATGGGGCTGTATCTTCTTGAGAACTGTCACTTCACAAAGCTGAGAAAGGGAGAGGCAGCTTGGACATAGGACTTGTCACCTCAGGGAGAGATGAGGAGAGCTTGCCAGGCAGACAGGGAAGTGGCTTTTGGATCTTAATGGTGGTACCACTTGGTATTTGACAAGGCGCAGGCTGGGACCACGGAAGTGGGAGCTGAGAAGGAGGGAGAGGAAATCTGAGGAAGTGAAGGGACAGACTGGAGCCCTGGAGCTGGGTGAGTGAGTAGGTCAAGTGTCTGAGAACAGCAGCTCCAGGGAGCCAGAGTATGACAGACACCGAATTAGAGACAAGTGCCTGCACACTCCCCTCTCCAAACAAATTCCAGTAGCAGCACGCAAGCCCCTCCCTTCTCTTTGGGCACACTATGCCCTGAAACTCACACATCCCACCAACCAAGTATCTCGGGGAGGGGCTATCACTGAAAAACAAGGCTCGGAGCTTAAGCGATTTGCCCACTCCCGCTAAATCGCATCAACACAAAGCCCATCGGATTGATGGCCAGCATTGCCCAAAGTGGTTATTTTCTGTCTAGGACCCCTAGCCCTCCCGTGCTCCTATCATGAATCCCAGTTCCCCTTCTTCTGTCGCCCAGCCATGCATCAGTCATGCATTAGTTTCCTCCCCAGGCACGAGAGCTGCTTGCCAAGTCCTGGAGCCTCTGTTCTTCAAGCAGCACCCGGGAATCAGGAGGATCAGGACTTGAAGGGCCTCCACCACTCTCTAGGGCAGTGGTTCTCAACCTGTGAGTTCTGACCCCCAAGGCTGAATGACCCTTTCACAGAGGTCACCTAAGACTACTGGAAAACAGATATTTACGCTGCAATTCATAACAGTAGCAAAATTATAGCTATGAAGTAGCAATGAAAGTAACTTTATGGTTGGGGGTCACCACCACATGAGGAACTGTATTAAAGGGTCACAGCCTTAGGAAGAGAGCTGCAGCCTCTTCCCTTAGAGGCACAGCTAGCCCCATGACAGCAAACCCCAGCCTTCACAGACATGCACCTGGACCTACGTATCCCTGTGCTGGATGGACACTGGAGGGGCTGACCCTGGGGACCCTAACACCTGAAAGTTCTGGTCCCCTCCCTTGTGTCCCGTTCTCTCCCCAGCCCCCATTATTTGCAGCAGGAGCTATACTCGGTTCCCTGTGCACCAGAGGTTCTCAGAAAATTCTCAAGTACGTGTTTGTGGCCATGTTCACAAAATATTCCCGAGAGGCCACATCCTTCCATTCCCTGGTCCTGTGCCAATCAGTGTTCTGCCATGGAGGGCACCAAACGCCGTGGTGAGATCAGGACACCTACCCCCAGAACATGACAGACGGGACAGGCAGTGAGGAGTAAATGCAGGCGGCCTCTTTCCAATCAAGGCAGGAACAAGTCCAGCCTGTGTAGGCCACATTAAAGGGTTGTCCTGGGAAAGCACAGACTCTGGCAAATGGTTGTAACTGTGTCCAGATCCTCCTTAGAAAGCTCATTAGCTAAGGGGCTTGGTAGAAACAGTCACACAGAAGACTCAACAATAAGCAGTGTGATTGCTGATTACATAAGGAAGGGACCAAGGGACTGGCCAAGGACTGCGTAACAAGTGCTGACCTACTGGAACAGGGTTCTGCAGCTCAAACCAGACCACCTTCCAGCTCTCAGGAGCCCTCCTGTTCCGAGGCCCTGGGCAGTGACAGTCCAGCCAGTGCAGCCTGGGCCCTCTCCTAAACTGTGGCTCTGGAGCCCGCCTCCCAGCCGTAGCTGTGATTCACAACACAGATTTACAGGGCTGGGGAGCTAGGATGGGACTCAGCAGACACCTACCATAAATGGGGCCCCTTGTTCCATCCTGAGCCCCGCAACAGAGTACTTCCTAAATGCACACTGCTAAGTGAATACATGCTGAGACCTATCACGGCTTCTGAGCTGTTGAGGGCTCGCTCTTCATAGTTAGTCTTGCCCACAAGCTCCACTCTCCAGGAAATAACAGACATTTCTGTTGGAAGACAGTATATATTTTTTTTGTTTGTTTGTTTTTTGAGACAGAATCTCATTTTTGTCCAGGCTGTCCTGGAATTCTCAGGTCAGCCTCAAACCTTGGGGTTTTTGTTTTGTTTTGTTTTTTTGGGGGGGGTTTGTTTGTTGTTTGTTTTTTGTTTTTTGTTTGTTTTTTTTTGCCTCAACCTCCTGAATGCATGCTGGAAATAAGATGTGAGCCACCAAGCTTGCTGATAAGTACATACATACTTAGAAAGCTTCTGTTTTCTTAATCTAC